AAAAATAAGGTGGCTCGAATACAAAACGACATTGTTTTGGAATTAATTTTTTGTCCCTTTCTTTCTCTTTTCTTATTTGTTTCTTCTCTTCTTCTTCAATGAACAGTGTTCATCTCTCTCTCCATCTGTTCACAATCACCAAACTGAAATCAAAATCATTTTTTTTTTCTTCCGGCCAGCCAACAGACTACAAATAAGAAGAAGAAGAAAGAAGAGAAGATGAGAGAAAAGAGATGAACAAAACATCATCATCATCATCACACACACACACAAACACACAAAGGTATTGATCGCAATTTGAGAAACAAAACGGAGTTTCCTTGTACAGCTCCAACAGGTAACTCGAGACTAAACCAACATATTCTGATGCAGAATAATGTTTCCATTGAGAAAAGCGCAGCATGTTTGGTTCTGGTTTTCAGAAAATTCCACTTTTTTATTTTTCCGTATTTTAATGTTTTCAATGAATTTTTTTTAATATTTTAAGAATTTTTTTTTTTAATTTTTAGATACACCTAACATAAATACACTTAAAAAGTATAATATTTGTAAAAAAAAATTTAAAAAATTCAATAAATACCAAAAAATATTTATAAAAAAAAGAAAAAGAAAATTCAGTACATTTTTCGTATTTTTGTGTATCTATTAATTTTTTAAAATATTTTTTCACAAATATTTTACTATTTAGATACATCTAAGTAAAATACATCTAAAAAAATGGTTAAAATTTTAAAAATATTCGCCAAAAACAAAAAAAAAAGTACGAAAAATAAAAAATTCAATTTTCAAAATGCTAAAAATTGAAACCAAATACATTGAATGTCTTCCAGGACTTCTCACAAAACTATTTGACAAAGTGTGAACCTCTTACCAATAAAAAATATATAAAAAAAATAAAAAAAAATTACTAGACTTAATGCCTTAGACAATTAATAGAGTGGATTTTTTTTTTTTTTATATATCAATTTTCTCAAAATATTAAGCATTCCTATTATATATTAATGTAAATTTACTAACTTATTAAACCTTGGAATAATTTTTTTTTTTTTCCTGATGGTACACTCTAATCACATATACATATTTTTCATTTTTTTCTTTAAGTTTCAAATTATTATTATTATTTTTTTCTTCCACCAAAATTCTAAAGCTCCCTAGTGTCCTTGATTTGAATGATGATGATGATGAAGAAATCCATGAGCATGCGTGAACAACTTTGCTAACTAATACATCTACAATAATGATAGAAATTTTCACAAAATACAATCCCCACAATTTTCAAAATGATCTCAATCATTCATTTTACTGTTAGACATAATTTTCAAAAAAAATTCAAACAAATCAATGTTCAATACATCATTGGGATCATGTAAATCCTCCCTTATGGGGGTCCCAAATATTTTCCAATACCTCTATATATATACTTCATCAAAACTTATCATTATCACCAATATTATTGTTTCTTATCCTTGTGAATAGAAGAAAGTTTGAATAAAATTAAACAAAAGTTATGTTAGAGATCCCAAATAATCTATCAAAATTTCTATTAAAGCTCTCACATGGGTGTGGGACCCACACAAACCCACATGTGAGAGTTTTGGTATAAATTTTGATAGATTATTTAGAGTCTATAGTATTTTTCATTAAACAATTGATAAGAATAATAATGAAAACTGCTTTTTGAAATAATTCATTAAAAAGAAGATAAGTATTCACATAAATATTAAAGTGCAATTCTTGATTATTGATTATTGATTTTTTTATTTTTGTTTTTGTTTTTGTTTTTTATTTTTATATTCAACCTATTTAACGGCATTGTTATTCGAATCTGAAAGTCTAAACCAAACAATATTGTTGGGCATTATAAATCTGAATATGGTGGCTTTATTTTTATTTGGATATACTTTGAAGAGCAATTTGAAAAAAAAAAATTATAAAATATACTAAAAGTAACCTAAAATCCTAAATAATTGAGCAAGTGTAACTAGAATCACCCTTTCTAATTGGATTATCGACTAGGGAAAAACCCAACGTAATTGATAATACTCCATCTGTCTCTAACATGAGGAAGATGAATGAAGGAGAAACCCAAAATACACCCAATTTTTATTTATTTATTTATTTTTTCTACAATTGATAAGAGATTAATTTTAAATATGAAAAGCATTATATCAAACTCAACAACTAAAGTCCAATAATAACTAGAAAGCTAGCAGATACGAAATCCCACAATCATAATTCAAAATACCCACATGTTACCATTGACTATTTGAAAAATGGACCGAGTTGAATGAAAATTTTCTATCACAAATAACAGCGTTGAAATTTTTTAAAATAATAATAATACCAACTTGACATTTAAATTGTTAAATAGAGAACTCTATTATTTATATTATTAACACTTCTGTGTGGCATAACTCTCCTCTATAAATAAATCAAAAACATGTGTAAGTGGTGGTTTTCAAACATATAATTTAAAACATGTTTCGATAGTATGTTTAGGCTTCGTTTGGGAGTAGGCTATTTTAGTAATTTTTTGATTTTTTACGAAAACATGTACAAAAAAATAGAGAGAGTGATGTAATAACTTATAGCAACTTTTTAGTTAAAACAGAAAATTGCCGAATGAGATTTTAGTTTGTAAATGTAATAAAACAAACAACAAATAGAGAAGAAAAAACGGCCAAGATTACATTGCATTGATCTACCTTTGTATACATGAGAAATGTCTATATTTATATGTGATAATACAATTATATCAAATTTGAAATAAATATCAATTTTAATAATCACGGGATTTGATTATCTGTGAATCATAAGATTTTATCTTCAATAAGTCGATTGACTGATAGATCATGAGACAACATATACCCACCCTCACAACTTCAAACCCTATCATGTGCAACTGCATATTGTATAAGTGAAAAAACATGACTGTTGCAATGTTATATATGGGATCAAGAGGAACCAATGGTCCACTGAGAAACCAAAAGTCTAACAAGTAATGTTGATTTTTCATAGAGTTTCTTTTCGTTTGTTTGGACGAGAAATATTTTTTAAAAAATATTTTTTTTAACATTTTTTGACATTTAACGTGATGAAAAATAAAAGTTATTATGAAATATTTTTCATGATCAACAGAAAAGTAAGTCTATTTGGACAGAAAATAATATTCACTTCTAAAAGGTGAAATGTTTTCAAGACTAATATTACTAATGTCACCACACTACCACCCCAGTAGCAGAGCTAGGAAATTAAACTAGAGGGGACACCTTACAATTTCAAATTTTTTTTTTTTTCATGGTTAACTATAAGGTAATAATAATTTTATGAGTTAAATTTAAACATAAAAATTTAAATATTCATTATTAATAATAATATTAACAAATTAAAATTCTATAATGGCATCATGCGATGGTAATATAAGTCTACAATTCTAGCACAAAAAATTACAAATTAAAATTCCTAATTTTAAAAAATAAAAAGATGTCATTTATAGTATTATAAAATTTCTTAAATGTTTATTTGAGAGAGATAGTATTATTTATAAATGATATGTTTTGAATAAAAATTATTAGATTGCCCGGAAATATCATATAATGTTACCTACGTAGTGCTCCCGACATGGGAAACACAACTCACACTAAGTGAGCCATTCATTATCACCCAATCAGGCCCGGCCCTGAGATTTTCAGGACCCAAAACCGATAATCAACTACTAAATTTTTGGGGGCCTTCACATTTTTTTTTTCATTGAATGATTTTTTTTTTTTTTTTAAGGTAAAGGACAAAAGATTTAATTATGTGATATGAACAAAACACAACACAAAACTTTGAAATTATGTGATATGAACTATTAAATTTAAACAAATTCTTCTTAATGATGTAAATACTAATATTATAATAACAATTAATGGAGCAAAAGACAAGACAAATATTTAATTAATTGAATAGAAAAGAAAAAAAAATTACATATGCTTGCTGCTGCTCCCCTTCGTGTGCTCTGCTCTGTTTGTGTGTTGTTGCTTCGTTGCTTTGTTGGCTTGGGTTGCTGTCAAACAAACTATAGGGAAAATTGGATTAAGAGAAGGTAGGGTTAGGAATTAGAAAAAAGGGCCTTTCAAACCACTATTGGGCCTTAACTGTTGACTCTTAACTATTAGGAATTAGGAATTAGATTAACTGTTGAGCCTTTCAAAATACTGCTTTGTTGGGCTGCTGCTGTCAAACTGTTGGGCCTTTCAATTTTTTAATGAGTACTTAAAACATACTTAACATATTATACTAAATTATAATAGGTGAGACCCATTTTTTGAGTCTATTTTGAGAGGCCCTAAGCCACGGCCTTATAGACCTATGGCGAGCCAGGCCTCCACCCAATTACCTAACAATAGTGAGATTTTATATTTCATCCATAAATTTCAGGTTAGACTATTAATTTAGACCCTTACCTAAACAATATCACATGGTACTTCCAAAGTACCCAAAAACTACCTACAAACAATGCAAAAAACCTCAACTAAAGAACATGTTGAGATAAGTGTGAGGACACACTTTGCATAGGAATATATATTCAAAACTGAAAAATAAGTAAATAATAATAATAAAAATAAAAAAACTTATTGAGAAAGCCAGGGAAACACATGACCCTCCTAGTCCAATGTTAGCTCCGCCACTGACCATCCCCACTCTCACCTCCACCATTACACCACCATTACAACGGCCATTACAACCATCACTGTCACCACTATACCACCTCCATTTTTGTCCCACCTCCACTTTTGTCCCACCACCACCACCAAACATAGAAAAATATTTTGTTAAAAAAAAAAGATTCCGAAAAAAATATTTTTGTTAGAAAATATTTTCTACCCAAATAAACAGAAAGTACCACTCCCTTAATAGGAGTGTAGGACACATCAAATGAACACTCCCATTAATTGGTCAAAGTCATACTTCTGCAATTAAGTCTTCCCTATCCTAGCTATTTCAACAAGAATGTAAAACAGAAAATGTATGAAATATCTCAACATTTAATGTCAATCTGAAATAAAAATTACATATTTACAAATAACAACTCTAAAACAACACAAATGAGACAGAGAGAAAAGAAAACTGCACAATGAGAGTACTACTTAGAGTGGTGTATACTACAGCATTAGCTCTCCCATTCACTTCGACTGTACAGAACAGATTGCTAGTCATTTTCCCTAAAAAAATTTCAAACCCGAGGCTTATTAGCCACAGCAAGTTCAACAGATATAATGAAAGTCGACTTTCCTGCTTCCCTCAGATACTGAACGTCGCCGTTCATGAGCTTCACCAATTTTCTGCTGACCAGCAGGCTGATGCCCTCCTCAGATGCATCTGCATCGCCTCCAAACATCTGGCTCAAAAGTTCCTCTGGCATGCCACCTCCAGCATGTGTTATCCTAAATCCAAGAAAATAGTTCTAAGAGGTTGAGTGATTTTGACCAACCTTCTAAGAAATCAGTCTATAAAAGCAAGCCAAAAGCACTACCACTTCATTAGTTTACTTGTACAATTATTTATCATTCTTCCTCTATTTTGCATGAATTTCTTAATTAATAAACATCAGCTCTACCATTTTTGTTCCTCGTGGCATAATGTTGGCACAAACCCGCTTGAATGTATCCATTTAATGTTAAATTATGTAATTGTAAAAACTGTAAACTAATTTACATAGTAGAACCATTTAGATGAAGTAGTATACACACACTTGAGGTTTGAAATGCGTATTTAAGAGCCTCATGCTAAATAACAATCTACAGGGTTATCGGAGTACATTTGGAGCTAAAAAGCACCAAGACTCCAAGATTGGTGTGGTCTCCTTGTCCGACATTGCGGAGACACGTGTGTCCATGTGTCTAACACACCACATGGTGTGTCAACGTTTTTAATTATTTATTTTTTGTAGGACATGTTGGGGACGAGTTAGGATACTTTTATAGTTTTTTTTTAATATATAATTTTATAAAGTAAATCTAGAGTCAAAGAAAAATAAATGAGAATAAGTAAAAATAAATAAAAATATATCCACATATATCTCTGTGTTCTAAATTTATATTCATACACATAGTAAATAAAAATATATAACAAATATATATATTATCCCCATTGTGTCTGTGTCCTAATTTTTCGAGAATCATTATGTCACATATCCGTACCCGTGTCCGTGTCCGTGTCCGTGTCCGTGTCCATGCTTCTTATATTTGGACCTCTTATATCTCATTTTCTTTAAATTTTTGTATCCACAATTTCAAAGTAACATTTTCTTATTGAAAACACTATAGCATATATCTCTGTGTTCTAAATTTATATTCATACACATAGTAAATAAAAATATATAACAAATATATATATTATCCCCATTGTGTCTGTGTCCTAATTTTTCGAGAATCATTATGTCACATATCCGTACCCGTGTCCGTGTCCGTGTCCATGTCCGTGTCCATGCTTCTTATATTTGGACCACTTATATCTCATTTTCTTTAAATTTTTGTATCCACAATTTCAAAGTAACATTTTCGTATTGAAAACACTATAGTGAAATTCTTTATGCAAATAATCATACCCACACATAGAAAACTCAGAGGAGGCTAAATGTTGCTTAGCCCTGCATAAGAATAAGAATGACTCAAAGTCTCAGTGTGTTAGTATGCATACCTGAATTCCAAATGCACAAGCTGAACAGATTGTCCTAAACGATCTTTGGTCAAATTAGCAGCAACAACGATCTGGCCTCCATTTGGTGTAAAAGTCACCGACATTAACAAGAAATCGGCTAGGACCTGTTGAAGCCTCAGACTATCTCCATACAGGGTTTCAGACATGGTCTCTTCTGTTAAATTATTTACTATTCTAATACCTTTCCCATTGCTCTTCATTGTTACTTGGCTAATGGAAGCAACCAATACTTCATGAAGAGTAAACTGAACCATCTCAAGATCGGAGTACCTGTCAATATTTGGGACAGAAATGCTAAGGTTAGAACACATAAGGATAAAAATCAACAAATAAACAGAATCGTTCTACCTTGTGGTCCTCTTTATCTTTTCTCACGCATTATGCATTCATAGTTTCTTAGGACCTGCTATGTGGGCAACCACACAAGTCCCAGCAAGTGATATACTTAATTTGGATCGTACACTCCATGTCTTCATGGTGTTTGGATCTTGGATTTGGGGAGGGAAAAGAAAAGGGAAGAAAAAAATTAAAAAACTCAAACTTATATTTTATTCACATTTCCCCTTTCTGTTCTTTTCCTTCAGAAATCCCTCTTCAAATCCAATATCCAGACGCAACCTAAAGGGTATCTCATTGGAAAAACACTCCTCCAGAGGACAAATAAATGGTTTAATTTTCATATCATAAAGTTCAAATTCAGTTCAGTATACCAAATCGGGAAACTTGAGCAAACTTGGCCAAACATGGAAGAAAATATTATTATAACTCCTTCAATTAATGACACATCCTTTATTTTTGGATTCGTATTTGATCTATTAAGCTCGACAAGAATTTAAAGCTGGTTGTCATCAGGTTTCAATGTGGAATCCCAGATGTAAGATAAGATAATTTAATATTACCCAATGTAATTAACGACAAAAGCCAAAGCAAAGAGCTGCTGTGATCTCATGTTTATGGGGAATGCATATATGTATATATATATATTTTTAATGCAAATGGATAAGAAAATGACTCATTATAGTGAAAAGGGATTTATCATACCCATCAATGATGGAATCAAGATCTGTGTCATCAAGAATTTTATTCATCTGACTCTGGCACTGGGCACTGGTACACAGAAGCTGTGTCTGTCCTTCTCCCAACTCCGTTCCCTCCATCATTTTCCGAGAAAATATAATCCCAGAGAGGGGATTCCTGATCTGCCTCCTAATATAAGATAATGCTTTTAATCTATTTAATGCAGTTTTCTCTGTCAACCGCTGAACGTGAAGTGCTTGTTGCAACTCTTGACTTGCCAGTTGCAAGAAGCAAAAAACACCAGTGACAACACCCTCTCTATCCAACTTCTTGCTCACACAAAGAATACACTCTACATACTTCCCACTCCGCGAAAAGAAACCAAAAGCAATCTTTTCTGATTCCTGGCCCGTCATAGCATTGTTTAGTACGATACCAAGGTTTACAAATGCCTCTTGATTCTTGAGGCGACAACATGCCATGTGGGTCCCAAAAACCTCAGATAAAAGCATTTTATCCATAATGTCTTCTCTGTTCCACCCGGATATCTTTTCCATAGCTGGGTTCCACTCACAACACCAGCCAAATTCATCAGTGCCAAATATTGGAGGGATCAAAGGATTTGGGTCCCGAAGAATAGCCTTGTAATCACCTTCAATTCTGGTGAACTTGTCCATAATGGTCTTCTGGCCAGTAATGTCTTGTGCCACAAAACAGACCCCCACGACATTATCTCCAATGGACCTACTTGCACAAGCATTCACAACTAAGCTGATGGGACCGGAGTCTCTCCTAGATCCGTGTGTTTTGATCTCAAATTGGATACTTTGCTCCTCTTTGCCTGATCAGAAGACAGCACAAGAACAAAATCAAAAATCAAATGCACGTTATGACATAGGTATATAAATTGTATATCCTTTCCTTGAAGCCTTGTGGACAAGGGAAAATTTTGAAAATTCTGTTACGTCATAAATATATAAATATTAAAAAAGGGCGTAGCTAGAGCACGAAGCTCTTGCTTAAGCGGGGTCTGGGAATTCTGTTACTTCATATCCTAATATTTTTAGTTTAAATAGGTTGGCAATACAATATTATGCTTTGCTGGTCTTCTTTGTCAACATAATGAATCTACATAAAAATTGAGATTAGGCTTTATTTGGGCCCGCTTATAAGCCCATTTTGCATAAAAAAAAGCTTCAGGCAATTTGCCTTTCATTTCCCACCAAAAAGCCAACTTAAGCCACTTAAAAAAGACGTTAGAAAAGCCAAAAAATCTAAGAATATGCCAAGCAAACTAGCTTTTATAAGCACTAGCTTATTTGAGAGCGTATTTTAAGCCAATAAGTTAGCTTATAAGCTGAGTACCAAAGGAGGCTTAGACATGCTTGTGCTATTGAACAAGTATATAACTAATACTAAAGAGATAACATAAAAATAACTCAAATTAATAATTCAAGTAGGACATACCCTGCAATGCCGCGTATAACATCTTCTTCACAATATCAGCTGAAGAATCTTCCACGAGTGAGAGCAAATGCCTCCCAATTGCTTTGTCAACAGGAAGACCAGTTAACTCTGCAATTTTCAAATTCCATCCATTTACCAGCCCATCTACGTCAACTGCCAAGATTGGTACTGTAGCGGTTTCAATCAGACGAACCATCTCACTTGTCACTGCCTCCAGTTCCTGTATCCCTTCAATTTTGAGCTCAGTGAGCCTCATATGGATAGAATCAGTACTTGCATCCATGGCTTGATCATCTTTAAAAGCATTTCTCAAAATAAGCTGCAAGGAGTGAATTGCATCCATCTCATAGTCCTTCCAAGCTACACTTTTCGTTTTCACAACTTCAAGAAAAGCTTTAAACGACAACCTTGGGTGCATCTTCCTACCATCATCCTTCTCACCCGGTTCATGCTTTGCACCACCCCATCGAATTTCTGCAGCAGTATGAGACCTGAACCAGAAGAGCATGTCGTTGGAAGTTATCCTCACACTTGCCATTCCACATACTACATCACCAACAGCAAGAGCCCCTGGGAAACCAGCATCGTACAAACTATCTGTACTTAAACCCGTGGAATCCGTATGGTACTTGGAGAGCCAAGAGATGATGTCAAAAATTTGGAAGTCAGTTGGAGTTATACCCATTTTGTGAATCTTATTTTTGTACACAAGTGCAGCCCCATCACATTTCACGAGGTCCATTACATTCGGGCTCTGTGACACAATACCTAGTGGTGCATCGCTCATAAGCACGTCACACAATAGTGTTTGCGTACGTAGGATATTCTTCTCCACGATCTGATTTTCCAACTCTAATTCCTTGTTGACATGGATAGCAAACACTTGAGCAAGAAACTCACACGCATAACGAAGAGGGAAGGGAACAAACCTTGGAGTTGTATTATGACAAACCACCAAACCCCAAAGCCTCTTTCTCTTTTGTGGCTGCGAAGAATCAGAGCTCTCTCCTCCCTCATCATCCCCATCATTGATTACAACTGCCATAACTAAAGAAGCAATAGAGTTCATGTTCTCCATATACTGTAAATGGCAACTATGTGGTGCTCTAAGGGTTGAACCGCACAAGGTTAGGTCAAATGGAAGCTTATCATCTTGAAGCACCTTCACATGTTTTGCACGACAATCACAGATCATACGGACCTTATTCTTCATGAATAAAAATCGTGCAGCTTGAGGGATATCCGTTGCTGGGTAATGTAAACCAAGATAAGGCTCAAGGCCCGGTTTTGTGATCTCAGACACAACCTCACCGTGATCATCATCATCGTGAAATTTATAAGCCATCACTCTGTCATAACCAGTGAGTTCAAAAACCTCCTGAACCATGGTATCACATAGCCTTTCCATGCTGCCACTTGGCAAAGCCTGCAAGCGAGTAATTGCCTTAGCAGCAAGCTTGTAGGATTGCAACGCTCCGGCAGCAGTCATGGGGACTTCAAAAGGCTTCACGGGTTCAAAATCAATTATCAAACTACCGGTTACTCTATGGACAATTGCATAGAAAGGCTTCCCGGAAGTTTTGCAATGGACTAAAATGGGATTCAAAATTGAAACCTCACCCAAACCAAGAGCCTTTTGCAATGCAGCCGCGCTAGGGCCAGCAAAGATGGTTCTCATATCGGTTCCAATGCCAAGAGCTGAGTGATCTCCGACACTTGGAACCGTGTGATTAACCATTGTTAGCATTTCAGGAGCATTCTCGCTGTAGGCAATCACTTTGAAAGTCTTCTCATCGAGGGCTAATAAACATCCAAATGGTTGGATCAGCTTGCCTTTTTGTATTTGATTGAGGTAAGCTGTTGTTACTTTGTCAAACCTAGGTTGTTGTTGATCTCCAGTGACTGCTCCAGTAAAAAGTACTGAAGATGAGTAGTTGAATGAACTACCTGACTCCTCAAAATCTGCGTGAAGCTTCGCATCTACGGTGGTCTGAGCTATAATTCTAGCACTGTGTTTCGATCGCCCTGAACTGCCTGAAGACTGGCTAGGTCTTGAAGATGACATATTGACTCAACCTGAAAAGAGAAACACACAAGAGAGAGAGAGAGAGAGAGAGAGAGAGATGAAGAATTTATAGAGCAGTGATACACGTTTCACATTACCAGAGAAAAGAAAATTGAACAGAGAACAACAAAAAAGAGTTTCAGAATCTATTTTACAAAATATTATAATTTAATAATTTTATTAGCTGTCATTATTATCGTGATCGTCATGATCTTCATACTAGAATTCTGGAATTTTATGTGAATATGATTTCTATGATGCTCAAATCAAAACATCAGATTTTCATAAAGCCTTTATTAAGATCAGAAAATCCAATAATAATAAGAATCAAATACTCCACCTAATTAAAAGCAACTCATCTTTCTCTGTGACAGAGAAAACTACTAGGAATTAAACTAAATTATGCTTTTAAGTAAATAGCAATTCTATGCAACCAGAAAAAATACTCAGAAAAATGTCTAGAATTTTAAATGGGTGGATCAGATTGATGTAGGGTGTTGTCCACATCACATCAAGTTAAATTTATACCGTACATTCAAATTCTAGGCACTTTTCTACATACATGTCATTTTTGTTAAGCAAGAATTATAACCAAAGCCATAGTTGCTGTTATTTATAGTTACTCACTTTATGACGTATAACTTCAAAGTAGCTGCAGTATGTAACTATGATATATGGACTGATGTTGGCTCAAATCATTTCGAAAATGCACTCCCATAATTTTATTTTATTTTAATTTCTTTTTTAGATAATAATACACTAGCACAAACTTCAAAGAAAGAAATACATATTTTGATATAAATAGCTCTTAATATACAATTGTTTCACAGATATGCTAATGCTTATGCAATCAAAACTAAAACTTGTATTAACTAAAACAAGAAAGAAAGAGACGAAGAAAGAAATAAAAAGAAGAAAAAATTTATGTGAATGTGCTTGTTACTTTCTATGATGCTGAAAACATCGGATTTTCTTTAGCTGGTTGTATTCGAAGTATGGATTTTGGTAGGGATTTGAAAAAGAAAGGAAAAAAGTGTGTGAAATTCTCTTTTCCTTTCCCATTCCCTTTCCAAATTCCTATCCAAGTCCGTGATTCAAACACTACTTAAAGATTTTATCAAGATCATAAAGCCCAATAACAAGAATCCAACAGTCCACCCAATTAAAAGCTACTCAGCTTCACCTTTGACATAGGAAACTAAGGGGTTCTTTGAGTGTCCTAAATAAGTGCATTTTTTATTTTTTTGGACTAAAAAATTGAGGAAAAAAATATGAATGTTTGAGTTAACTTTTTAACTTTTTATGAAAAAATGTGTATTAAAAAATTATAAAAATTGGTTTGTAGAGAAAAATTAAGATTGGGAGTTGTACATCTGTAATTGTTGGAATAGTGTTAACTTTTTAACTTTTTAAATAATTTTTTGACTTTTTCTTATCTCACAAACTTGGCCTAATAGTAACTAAACCAAGTTACGCTCTTTAAGTAAAGACCAATACGTAGTCAGAAAAAATATCCATATGAATTTGAAATGTGTGGATCAAATGGCCATACCACACCAAGTTAAATTTATATATCTATGCCATATATTCAAAATTTAGCCACTTTTCTGGGTACATTTGTTAAGGAAGAATTATAACCAAGCCCTAGTTGCTCTGATTCAAAGTTACTCAGTTTATGATATGTAACTTCAAATTAGCTGCACTATGTAACTATGATCTATGGACTGACTGGAGTTTTCTCAAATCATCAGAGGACAAACTCACACAAACTTCAAAGAAAGAAGAACAATTTTGATATAATAGCTCCTAAAATACAATCATTTCAAAGATATGGATACACAATTAAAACTAAAACAAGTAATAAACTAAAACAAGAAAGAAAGAAGAAAAACTTAAAAACCTCAGTGAATATAGATATAGACACATGAGAAAGTGAAATCTAACCTGGGTTTCAGCTTGAAGAGGCCAAAACAGAGAGTGAGTGTCTAATATCAGATCAAAACTTGTGCAAAATGATATACTGAAACAGCATGCAGAGCTAGAAAATAAAAAGGCCAAGTTGGCCAGCAGTAACCCTCAATTCCACCATTGAAAAGCTGAATTCCATTACCCCCAGAATCTCGATCACCACCTCTCTCTCTCTCTCTCTCTCTCTCTCATCCTTTCAATCACCAAAAATGGGGACCACACCCACACCACCACCTCTGCTCACTCATCAGAAAAATAAAAGAACATTCTCCAATACATAATATTTATTTCCATTAATAGTAAGAGAGAGAGAGAGAGGGATTAGCAAGAAGACATGAGGGTGGTGGTTTTGTTTCCACTTTTTCCATACATAATGGATTAAAGCAGAGAAAAATGTGATTTTGATTAGCTGGTTATACTTTACATTAGCATATACAAATATAAAATTGTATATTAAAATCATTAGTCGGTTGAGTTGGGTTTTTTAATGAATATATATAGAAGTGGGATCACAAGTACATACACACTTACCCAATTCTTATCATGATAAACTGTGTGTGTATATAATAAAATATTAGTATATATGCACGAGGACCCATTTCTGTGATTTGAGATTTGCACTTGAAACAGAGCAAAAAATGGGGATTGAAAAGAAAAGAAAAGAAAAGAGGATTGGGATAAAGAGCCCATGATGGCCATCCTTGGTCGAATAGGAACAAAGAGAGGAGTTGTGGAGTTCACGTGGAGACCTCACTCTTCCCAGACAGATTTCAGGTTGCAGAAGATGGATGACCCAACCAAACCCACATTCTGTTGGGTCAGACTCCCAGATTAACCGACATCTGACCTGACCTGACCTGACCTGACCTGACCATGCGCAGGCACAGGACGAGGGAAGGGAAGTCTATCTCTATCATCTCTTAGCACCCAGCTCTAAGACCAAGTTCAATGGAAATTGTTATTATGGTCAAAACATGAATACGAGGGTCAATGGAGACTAGCCTATTATGGGTTGCCTATTTTTACTATTTTGAGAATATGATTAAATGTTATTTTTTATTTTTTAATTTATTTTAAGTTATATTTTTTTTATATTTTTATATTTTTTTAAAAAAAAAAGTTTAAAGAAAATTAAAAAATCAGCTTTTAATCATTTTTTCAAAATAATCTTAAAGTTTCATTTGGGATGTAGATTGACTTGTCGACTATTTTAATTTGAGGCTAAAATAATCTCGTTTAGAATGAGTTTTTTAGTTTTTTTTTTTATTTTTATGAGAAAAAAAATAAAATGATTATTTTGGATATGATAACTATTAATCTGAGACTAAAATGTTTATTTTATCTTTTTATAACTATTTTACTCTCAACACATCGCTAACCCACATTCCAAACCAAGATTAAAATTGTTAATGTGTAAAATTATTTTTTCAATTGTTATTTTTGCAGAGTCTTTGTTATTAAATCAATTTGGTAATTGTAATTATTTTAATTTATTTTGTTTTGTTATAAAAATAGAGTGAAACACTAATAAATCTTAAAATATGATCTTGTGAATTGCTTAGTCCTTTTTTTCTAGGGCTGAGCAAGGAATCCGTAAAATCCGTAATCCGATCCAGTCCAGTCCAATCCGATAGGTTTGGATTGGTTTTTTAAATCCGCGGTTCGGTTCCGGATTGAAGAATTAAAAATCAGTAGTACACGGATTGGTTCTGGATTGAATCCCACGGTTCTGAATTGGAACTGATCCGGACCGTATACAAATAGTATATATTTTTATTATACATCCTCCCCCATAGTATCTTCTCTTATTTTATATAAAATCTAAACTCAAACCTAAAACTGTATAATATTTTCTTTTATTACTTTTGTTTGTTAGTTTTTAGTTTTAATTTGTAATGGTTTAAATACTTATGGTTGTTTAAATTCTAGAACAATATGTCGCTATTATATAAATAGATGTTGCTATTGTGGAACGAATATAGCGCTATGTTTATATTTTTATGAAATTAAAGTGTTATATATATATATATATCGTTTGGGTGGGGTTGGTTTTATAGTTTTTGGTTTTTTTATTTTTTTTTGATTATTTTAGTTTATGGTTAAAAAATCTCGTTTAGAATGAGTTTTTTAGTTTTTTATTTTTTATTTTTATGAAAAATAAAATAAAATGATTATTTTGAATATGATAACTTTTAATCTAAGACTAAAATATTTATTTTATCTTTTTTGTAACTATTTTACTCCCAACACATCCCTAACCCACATTCCAAACCAAGATTAAAATTGTTAATGTGTAAAATTATTTTTTCAATTGTTATTTTTGCAGAGTCTTTGTTATAAAAATAGAGTGAAGCACTAATAAATCTTAAAATATGATTTTGTGAATTGCTTAGTCCTTTTTTTCTATGAACCCAAAAGTCTTATTAAAGTGGAAATTACAGAAAATGGTAGTCACTTATACATTTGGGTTTAATTTTTTAGGGATAAAAATGAGTTTCTTCAAGTGTAAAATTATACATTTGGACAATCTACACTATAGAAGTATTGGATTTTTCTTCCTTCTAGAACAAATCTTACATTACGAACAAAAGCGAAACACTCTAATATAACACTTTAATAATATAATCCTCAAATAACGCTAAAAAATTCATTAGTATATTTTTTTCCAAACGTAACAACATAACACCCCAAAATAACTCTTTAGTGTTCTTTTTCCAAACATAATATTCTAATGTGACACACAAAAAAAAACTTCTTAATGTACTTTTTTTCCAAACGTAACAACGCAACACTCCAAAATGACTTCTTAGTATATTTTTTTCAAATGTAATACTCTAATGTAATACACACACACACACAAAAAAAAATTCTTAGTGTACATTTTCTCAAACGTAACAACGTAATACTTTTTTTAAACGTAATACTCAAATGTAACACAAAAAAAACATCTTCGTGTATTTTTACCAAACGTAACACTTCTATGTAACATACAAAAAAAACTTCTTAGTGTACATTTATCAAATGTAATACTCCAATCAATGTAATTCCAAACGTAATGTAACTCACACAAAAACATAAAAATAAAATAAAATAAAATAAAAGCTACATAGTGTACGTTTCCTAAACATAATACTTATAGTTTGAAATTCTATAATTGTTCAAAGCTTACTAAGAAATTTTTGTATTTCTTTTGGAATGGTTATTTTTTTGGAATAGTTTGAAGAATCACACATATTTTTTTAGCGTGTTACATTGAAGTGGTATGTTTAGGAAAAGTATACTAAAGAATTTTTTTTGTATGTTACATTGGAGTATTACACTAAAAAATTTATTTAGATTATTATATTAGAGTGCTACATTTGGAAAAAAAAAAAAAAAAAAACACTATTTTTATTTTTATTTTTTTGGAGTATTACATTAAAGTGTCGCAATTTAAAATTACACATTTGCTTAATGCTTATTAAGGAATTTTTGTACTCATTTAGAAATGTTTGAAGAATCCTATATTCCAAGTCATTTTTGTACTTTTTTTTAAAAAAATTTGCAAATAAAAAAGATTCTCATATAAAAATTTATCCTAAATTTGATTCCTATAAATTGTATATCTTACATTTCTAAAATATATATGTAGATATATATATATAATAGAAATAACATATAAGGGTATAATCGTAAATCTAATTTATAAATAATATATTAAATCTATATTTTCAAAATTAATGGGACTAATTGGTCTATAAAAAAATTCGTGGGACTAAACGGATCACCATTTTTGAATATGGGATTTATAGGTAAATTTTTCATAAATATAGATCTCAAATATATTTTTAAAAATAAATTATATATTTTTTTAGATCAATGTAATAAAATAAAAATATTATGATTATTGGATTAATTTAATTTTTATAGATAATATACACGAAGGATATGTAAAATGAATGGTTTGGATCATTGAAAAAAGCTCCATAAGTCCCTCAAGTTTTCTTTTAAGTTTATATTTGAATTTAAGAAAAACTCAACGTTTGCGTTGTGTTTGGTTGAAAAATTTTGGAAGGGATTTGGAAAGGAAAAAGAAAAGATAGATAAAGTGTAACTATACCTATATTTTATTTAGTTTCACAATATTTCATTTAGTTTCACACACTTTTTCTTATTTTTTTTTTTAAATTGCTTCTCAAATTTCTTAACCAAACACAACGTTACTAAATTACAACCATTTGATCCCAACAAGAAGTTTCTGTTGGAAAATTTATAAATTTATAAAGAGGTAGTTGTGAATTGAAATAGACTCCATTTTGAATGAAAGGGTGTAACCTTTCATGGTGTCTTTTTGTTTTAAAAGAAGGGTCTTTATTTTGAATGAAAGGGTGCAAACCTTTCATGGTGTCTCTTTATTTTAAAGGAAGGGGTATGTCCCTTCTTCATACCTTTTCTATTCAATTTGAATAGGTGCCAACAAAGCCTATATAAAGGCAGCCCATTCTAATTTTGAGGATTCTGAAAAATTCATTTTCTTTGCCTTCATTTTGCTCTCTTGCGTCCTTTATTCTTCATATTATTTTAGGGTAATCAAAGAGAGTATAGATCGCAGGTTTGGTTCGCTGAACAAATTTATTTGAAGTACTTCTATAAATTTGTGAAGATCATTGTATCAAATTTATTTAAAATTTTAATTAAAAAAATATAATATATTTTTATTTATATTTAATTTATTTAATTTTTTAAAAATAAATTTATTTAATTGTGCAAAAAATAAAATAAAATAATTTTTTATTTAATCTAGCTAAAAATAATTAAAATATTAAAACTATGTTTAATATTGCTATTACTTAGTAAATAATTAAAAATGATAAAATAATCATTTGAGTATTTATTTTTCTCCATAATATCCCAAACAAACATTGGATAACTAAAAATAGTCCAATCCAGACATCTAATCCCATGACTAAACAAACATAGGATACAAATTCAGTCCAACTAAATAGTCCTGGGACAATATATCCCAGGACTAATAGTCCGATGGATTACAATCACCCTTTATCCAGTCTGTCCAAACAAACGCACCCATTGCATTCTGAGAATTCGGATGAGAGTGTTTGACACAATTTCTTTTATAATTTGTTAGATAGAAATCATTTGAACAATTTTTTTTTTTTTTTTTGACTTTCTCAAAATTAGGGAGAAGTGTTTTTAATTTTTACTTTCTGATTATTAATTTTCAGCTCAAGAAAAATTATACTAAATAGGCCCACTATATGAATTGTCATAACTATATTATAACAAATAATGTGTTTTATTGATGAGAAAATTTTATAATACACAATAAAAAATGAGTGTATTATTTGCCCAATTACAACA